AGATCAACCGAAGGACTTGTATGCATGCATATAAGCATAACCAATGGACATAAGACACTGGGGAGTAGGGGGGGCCAGGGGATTGTCAAGGGCGGGGAAGAAAGAAAAGGACACATATGTAATACCCTTTGTAATACTTTAAGCAATAAAAAAAAAATTTGTGTGAAAAAAAATAAATAATGTGATAATAAAAAAATAAAAAAAAATTCAGAAATGAGAATTATTTCCAAGTAAGTCTAACACCATGAGAAGTGGCAGAGGAGAGGCTAAGAGCCACATGACACAGGTTCAGATCCCAGCCAGTTCTCTGACTCGCTCTGTGACTTTGATCTCTTGTTCCTCACTTTCCTCATCTGTAAAATGGATATACAAATAGGACCTACCTCATAGTGTTATTATGATCTTTATATGAGGTAAGATGTTTAAAATGTTTTAGTGTCTAGAAAATACTAAGTGATTGAAAATTTTAATTGTTGTCAATAACCCTTCTCTTTATACACAAAGTAAACATTTAGTAAATAACTGTAGAAATACAATAAATTAATGACTCTTTAAAGAGGATGAAATTATTCACCGACACAACACACACACACACACACACACACACACCACTTGTGCAAAGACAGTAAGTAATGTCTGTCCCAACTTCTTTCTAAATTGTAAAAATATAACAACAACAAACAGTAAAAGGTGAACCAAAGACTGTAGGGCACCTACAATCTGCCAACAACACTGGTAAATGCTATTCCAATCATCTGGCATTTGAATTCAGGTCCATATCTTCTAGAAGTCTCCAATGGTGTCTGCCTTGATCCCCTCTGATAATAACAGGGATCAAGTCATAATTGTCACCCCACTGTTTCTGCTCAAAAAGTAAAAGGGGTTGCTAGTTGTAAGCGATCGATACATGGCAGACACTGAGGTCATCAGGAGAGTGGGCAAAATTGCCTTTAGTCATCCCAGATATAGAAGAAAAAGTAGGGGTTTTAGAATCCAAATAATTTCCCCTTCCTTAGAAGGGAAACAATTTACAGAGAACATGACATGTGTCTTACAGTCAGGGGGGATATGTGTGGTCATGTGGGATACCAAGAACAGCTCACAGTTATTGAGGACTTACTTTGTGCCAAGCACTCTGACAAGGTCTCCACATGGTTTATCTCATTTAATCGGCACTATGTGGTAATATGCCGGCCCCACGTGGGAGACCACCCTCCAGCTCCCCCACTCCCAGGCCTGGTAGCTGGCCCTGTTGATGGAGAGATCACAGAGCCCTGCGGTCACACCATCCCTGCCTCTGCCACAGCCTCAGGAGCCCCTGCCCACAGCACCCCCGGCCGCAGTGACCACTGCACCTGCATTTCCACCAGACTGTCTGGACCCATGGAAACTCTGGCATTCCCAGTAGCAGCCAAGAAAGAGCCGCAACAGGGAAGTTCAAAGTCGTTAACCCCTGGGATCAAGTCTGACCGATGAGAGACAGGAAACTGGAAAAAGCCTTCCCTCCATCCAAGTCCCCCATAAAGAACTGAATTCAAGCTTCTTGCGAGAATTCTTCAGGTCTCTAATGCCTCATTCTCCCCTATCTTTTTCCCAGCAAATGAAATAATGCAGGTAACACCAGGGAGCAATGGTGGCCTATTCTGAGACACAGTGGTTCTGGTCAGTATCTCTGTAGATGCCCCCATAAAAGCAGCCTTTTTGGCTGTTCTGATGCACCACCTCACATTGGTTCCCCCTCCTTTCCTTCCTTCCCTCTGTCTCTCATGCTTCTACTCCTGGGGGACACCTCACTCAAGTAACTGCAAGACCAACTCCCACAGTATATCCAGCACATTGTTCAAACAGGACCTCCTCAGAGAGGCCCTCCCATCCCCACTGTAAAGCTCTCTATTCCTTCGCTGGTTTATATTGTTTATAGAATTGTAGTGTATACTTACTTGTTTATTTCCTGTCCCTTCCACTAGACTGCCAGTGCTATAAAGACAGAGACTTTGTTTTGTTCTCTATTGTACAATGCTGGTATGCATCACTGGCTCAGTGCATGTTTTGTGAATGATTATTGAATGAGATCTATGGTTCTACATATCTTATTTCAAGAAACACATAGGAGGAGGCAGGCAGGAGTCAAAGGCATTTTCTCACACTGTACCAGGTACTTGAGAGGAGAGGTGACACTGTCCCCAGCTGGCATCGCAGACCGATTCCAAAATGACTCAAAACATGTCCCCAGGGCCACCTGCCACCTTCCCTGACTCATAATAGCTTCTACCTCCCTTCCCCTTCTCATTGTTTCCTTAATAGCTTTTCCCAAGGCTACCTGACCCACAGCTGACCAACCACAAGCCAACCACACAATGACAGTGGCAAGGACTCCAGTGGACCACAGAGACCCACTCAGCAACCCACTCAGCAACCCACTCAGGCCACATGCTCCACTTCAGAACCCGACCTAAAGCCAACATGTCTGCCTGCAGTTCCCCACCAGTGAGAGGGATCCTACGATTGAAACTTACTCGGCATTCCCGACAGCTCTTGGTTAAAATCCGCTGGCCTTCTGCAAGGACTTTTCCTCCATAGATACATTTTGCTGTAATAAAACAGAAAAATGGGTCAGACAGTCATGCTATGCAACAAAATAACCTCAGAGGTGCCATCAAACTCCAACAGATTCCACAGAGCATAGATGCTCTGATTCTAAGCATTACAAATATCTTTGTCTAGAGTGAGACATGGGAATAGCTTGGGGATAACTGTTGAATACCCCAGTCAGACCACAGCCATAATTATGTTTGTCATGAGCCCTTCACACCAAGGAGACACAACTATTTCCATGTTGCACTTGCAGAAGGAACTAGAGAGTGAACTGATGTGGCTAGAAGTTAAAACAAAGGGGTTATCATCTCCAGGGAGAACAATAGCAGTAGCTTTGATTCAGACACTCCAGCTATAAGACAAATGACTAGGTGAGAGGGAACTCGTAGATGCTCCATTCATCAGAACCTCAGCCACAATGTAGAATGATGCCATTTTCCCTTGCGACCATGAAAAGTGCATGTCCTTAGCCTATCTGTTCCCGAGAAGCTCAGAGACAACTGAGAAATATAAGCCAAGCCCATAAAGTGTTTTATCAATGCACTAGAGAGACTGCCCTTAGAAAGGTGAGCTTAACAGGCTAACAGGCATGTGGAATAGATAGGGCCTGTAGAAAAGTGAAAAGAGAAGCGTACTAGTAAATGGAGCTCCCACCACTCAATTTACATTCCACTAGGACTCAGTCCTAGACTCAACCTGCTGACCCACTTTTAAGCAAGTGAAGGTAGAAGAGGCTGAGTCTCTTCCCGGAAGAGAGAACAGTGTATGCAAATCCCATCAGTTTCAACTGAGGCCTGGCTGCCCCCAAGAAGTTGTTCTTGGTTTTTAACACTGGTACAATGCCTTCACCGTGTGCGTCTGTGGTGCTCTGGACCTAGACTAACACAGTGCATATGATATTCTATCTCAGTGGCCCAGGTAATTACACATTCCTCTGCCAACTGCAACCCCGTGAAGGTAGGGGTTATGTCTATCCCATATTTTTCTCACCAGCCCCAAGCTCAATGCCTCTCTGGGCTTACTGTTAGTCACAATAAATAATGTTAAAATTGATGAGCCTCTAGTTGGTAGTAAAAGCCAGCCAAATTTCCTGATTCTCAGATAAGAGTTCTCTCTGCTATTCAATGCAATTTTTTGCATTTATTTTTATTTTTCAATTACAGTTTACATTCAGCATTCTTCTTTATGAGCTTCAGATGTACAACAAAGTGGTCTCCCTGCTGCTCTAAGTACCCACTGGCCCCACACATATGCATCCCAATATTATTGACTCTATTCCCTATGCTGTAATCTACATCTCTATAACATTAAAAACAGACACCATGGTTTTCTAACAAAAACAGCAACGATGGCAATAAACAAGTAGAGAGTTGATATAATCTTTTAGATAGCTCCCTTATTCCCCTCATTAGATAGATAGATAGATAGATAGATAGATAGATAGATAGATAGATGATAGATAGATGATAGATAGATTGATAGATAAATGATAGATATCTGTCTAGATAGATAGATAGATAGATAGATAGATAGATAGATGATAGATAGATCCCTGATCATCTTTTATGCCTCAGTTTTCTGGACAAATCATGGCTCACTGGTCCTAATGATGATGTGGATTCCCCCATTTACTTGCATGAGGAAACCAGGCCTCCCAAAGCCTGGAATTCCTGTCTAATGAAATCCCACACTCCCCAGCACAGCTGCTGCCAACTTGGCAAGACAGCTCACTCCAGAGTGACAGTCCTGCTAAATGCCCTGCTGTCAAACCTGCCATCTGCTTCGTGGCCCAGGCTGAGAAGCCAAGAAACAGACTTTTCTTCCTGATTTTGCCCCTGGCCACCCCTACAATGGTAGGAGCCCACTTGCTACCCTGCCTTAAGACACAGGCTCAAGTCCTCCCTTCCTCTGATACCCTCATCCCCAAACTCCAAATTCGGAGATAAGCATGTCTTACGTTTTACGTTCACAACACACGTGGGGACACATGCAGCCTCAGATCCACCAGTCTGGTATAAAAGTTAAATGTCCACTGAACTTTATGTCCTCCCACAGTAGCGAGCTCTTGGAGCTGGGCATGAAATCAGCATGATTCCACACACCTCGGCCATTTCGCTTTGGCACTGGTGGGACGTGTCTATGCTTACGATATCAAGTATTGATGAAATTACCTTAGGAATGCTTTCGGGATCATCACTGGAGGTCACCAGACTGTCTCCTACTTTCTCATACTCAGCCCACTTCTCTGAGGGTACCCCCCCTTCCCTGCCACTGCCCTGCATATGCCTAACATCAGTCCTCATTATGCAACCTTTTGATCTACAGCCCAAAGGCTCACTTTCAATGTCTGAGGAAATTCAAGCAAAAGGTGAGTCAGGCTCCGGTGCCTTTGGCTGGGGCATTTGGGACTCCAACCAAGCCGCTGTCGGTAGGAGCAGAGATGTAAATGGATACCTGAAATCCCTCCTATCACACTGGGGACCTGCAAACAAGGATACTTCACAGCCCGACCATGAAATTGAAACTCAGCACCAACGCACACTTCTCCAAGATGTCAGAAACAAACGGACTGGGGATTTTTGCACCCACAGACCCTTCAAATGTGAACCTGATTTCTCCAGTGCAATGACTGGAGACTTCTGCCATTTAGGCATATACTGAATAAATGACTGACAGGTACATCATAGCAGCCCTGTCAGACGTGGACAGGGGTTGCTCTATCTTTATTTAGGTCCTTGTGTCCTGCATGTACTCGCCATCCCTTGGCATTCTGCAGCTTAGAATACCAGAATCAACCCTCCATGTTTCAGTATAAAGGAGGGTGGCGGATCAGAAAGGCTGAACACCCACTCACCTTCCTGCCTCTGTGAGCTCATTCACAAAGTGGACTCCAGGTACCACCTCTACAAGTCACATCCAGTGGTTTTGCTGTCAACACCTTTGCCGCAAGCATTTTCACCACAAACGTTTTCACCACCTAACTGGTCATTGGCAATTTTGCCAGAGAAGAGAAAATACCTTTTTGATAATTCAATTTTATTTCTCCATTAATGAATCAACTACCTTCAGCTGACTTAATGTATTTAAGCTAGTTGTCAATTTCATTTCATTTCTCCACTGACAAAGTTTTCACAGTACTCCCATTTTTAAAAAATATATTGTTATCGATTTCAGAGAGAAATAGAGTGGTAGAGAGAAAGAGAGAGATTAATGATGACAGAGAATCACTGATCAGCTGCCTCCTGCATACCCCCTACTGGGGATCGAGTCACCCAGGCACATGCCCTGACCAGGAATTAAACTGTGACCTCCTGGTTCATAGGTGGCCACTCATCCACTCAGCCACACTGGCCAAGCAGTACTCTCATTTTTATATCATATATCTTAGCCAGGATGCATCTTATACTAGAAAATGATTATATATAAGTTTGTGCAAATCCTTTGATGACCACAGCCCTCCACTCCCACCCATCAAAACCAAAAGTTTACCAAGCTATCGCAAGTAGAAAAAAAGCAGCTACTAATTTGCAACAGTCTTTGAGAGCATTAATCATTGATTCTTTAATTGGAAATTGATACCTCTCTTAATGAAGGAAGAAATTGCCGTGAAAAAAAAAAAAACTGCAATGCCAAAAGTGGAAACAAATCAGCAAGCAAAACAAACAAAAACAAACCCAGAAGTATAACACTATGGACAAAAGACTTCAATGTCAATGTATGTTCATTTTAGTCAATGAAGTCTTTTTAATTTTGTTACTAATGTTTCATGTTGCGTTATGGCCTCTTTAATGTCCCTTTTTAATTTTTCATCCTTTTATCTTCCATAGCAAAATTGCCTTTCCGCAATTGCACAAACACAGGTGTGGCGAAGATGTTTATGGGGAAGCTACCTAGAACCCTCTGAGCAAGACACCCATATCAAACTGGTTTCTCCTCAGCATCTCCAACTCAAACACACCAAACAGAATGTACTGCTCTCTGAACTACTTCTTCCACCTGCCTTATTTCTGTTAATCACACTGTCAGTCCCCCACCAGCTCTTATTCAAAATCTGGCACCTTTTCCCCTACAGACAATCTGTCCTTGATTCATCTCTTGAAAAAAGAAATGCTTATGGAGTTCCTACCATCCGCCAGTCTTTTAGCTCCACTCACGTGGCTCTCGTCTCTTCTCCCTAGGCCAGTGGTCAGCAAACCGTGGCTCGCAAGCCACATGCGGCTCTTTGGCCCCTTGAGTGTGGCTCTTCCACAAAATACCACGTGCGGGCACGCACGTACAGTGCGATTGAAACTTCGTGGCCCATGCGCAGAAGTCGGTTTTCGGCCTGGGCGAGTCTATTTTGAAGAAGTCATGTTAGAAGAAGTGGGGGAACGTTCACTGAGGTCGACCCCTCAGATTGAGGACGTTTTTAGCAAAGGCCAGCTTAGGACTACCCTAATTAAGTTAATAACAATGTACCTACCTATATAGTTTAAGTTTAAAAAATTTGGCTCTCAAAAGAAATTTCAATCGTTGTACTGTTGATATTTGGCTCTGTTGACTAATGAGTTTGCTGACCACTACCCTAGGCAGTGCCTACCTGCCAGCCTCAACGCCTCCACCTGGAATACTCTCAGCAGGGAGAGGGGGGTAGGTGGAGGTGGAAAAGGGTATGGGGGTAAATGATGATAGAAAAAAATAAAATAAAAATTTAAATATGGTTTATACAGTTATTTTTTAAAAAAACTTAAATGATAATGGTAACTCAACAAATCAGGATAAAATTTATCTACACAATAAGATCCCAATAGTACACAAAATAAAATTTAAAAACTAAAATTTCAAGTGTTTGTTTCCAAGTAGTGGTATTATGGGAGATTTTTTTCCATCTTTACTTTTATTCCTCTCTGTGGATTTCAGGTGTTACACAAGACACACTGCTCTCACAATTAGAAAATCAAAAGGTTAAAACACAAAACAGCTAAAAGACAAATCTATCCCATGTCCAAACAATAACTTCTAAGAGACAGCATTCATAGATCTGTCCAGGGAGTTCAAAATAATGGATTTAAAATATCTCATATTTTTTAAATACAAATTCCCAATAGTTTTTCAACTTCTTTCTCTGCTGACTGTTATATAAAATATCAAAAATTGGAAAACATATCTGCACCTACTAAAAACTATCTTTCCACTATGCCATCAGATTATAATCTCTACATCTGGGCACATGAGCTATTCGCTTTGCCAGATGTGATTTCCAAAGCCCCCGATACAGAATCAAGAAAGTTTCTTTTTTCAGAAAACTTCAAGTGCACTCTGCTGAGTAACTGATGTGCTATGCCAACCACGAGAAAAAGGAATATTCAAAAGTTCCTTTTGAAAGAGTTCCACAAAGGTTTGGGCAGATGGATCAAACTAGCTCTCGCATTTCCAATGTCATATTAGGTGATATGTTATTCTTGGCAAAAGCTAGACCATTATCTTTTGAATCATAATGATGTTGGTGCTTTTCAACAGAGAAATGACCTTGAAAATTATCTGTAAAATGCCACATTTCTAACCTAAACGCTCCTTTTCTAAGGAAGACCATATGGTTTGATGAGAGACTACAAGCTTTGTAATCAGACAGAACCAGTTGTACATCTCTCCTTTGCCACTCACTAGTCTTGTGACCTTGATAAGTTAACTTCCCTAAGCCTAAGATTCCTGTAAAACAGGGATAATAATACCACTACCCCCCCCCCCACACACACACACACAAAATGAGGTGAGGATTCAATAAGCTAAGAGAATTCAAACACCTAGAATAGTAACTGGCACATAACAAGCATTCTAAATGGCAGCTTTTCTCATTGCTTGTCTCTATGTTCCCTTCACTATTTCACCTAAAATAGTGCCCTTTGCAATACAGAAGGAAAAGGATTCTTAAATCACTACATAACTTGGACAAGTCAACTTTGAGGGAAATTGTTTTAGTATTATAACTGAAGTTCATCCCAACATTCATAACAAAGACCTTTTAAGTAACAGGAAATCTGGCCAAGACCTCAGAATGCCAATACACTGAACTTGGCCTTTAGCTTAATGATTCAGGATGAGGGGGACCAAACACATGGAGCTTTGGAGTCATGACTTTAGAGATCGGATCCACCCATTACCGGTTGTTTGACCCTGTACAAGTGACTTAATCCCTGTGAACACCAGTTCCTCTATATAGAATGAGAAGAAGTAATTAGGGTTGACGTGAGAATTTTTTTAAGTAGCCTATGTAAAGTGTCTGCCACATCACAGGTGATGAAAATACAGCAGCTCTTCTTACAATACATTTAATATTACATCAACTACGGGTATTTCGTTTCATCAGTGTTAATCTGTTGAGGCCTAAAATATAGAGGGAAAAAGTAAGTCTCAAAGCACAGAGGGCCACTCCGACCCTCAGTTAGTACTTACGTCGGCAGACCTTACAGCACTGGCCAGCAATGTGCACAGGGAGGGAGTCTGGGGAGCAGTTGAGAGGGGGGCAGGACATCCTTCGGCATTCCACAGTGCCACTCTGAGGAAGGAAGGACCGGGAAAGGAATCTCAGAAGTGTCCTCTGAAAGTTCCCTCGGGTGGACAGAGCTCACAGCTCATCCCAGAAACCTCATCAGGGAAACAGAAGCCGTGTGACAAATACCCCGTCTGCTCCAGGACCATACATAAAATATTTCCTCCTGCCTGAATAAACCTGTGCCACCTCAATTACTTTTCTGATATACATCACTGGCTTCATTCCACCTGCCCGTGTGGGCTAAGGAGATTAGGCAGAAACCAAAAAGCTTATTTTTTCAAGAACATAAATAACACCTTTTTCAAACCCTGTCAATCATTGTTGAGGCTCTAACAATCTGTTTTGTATTTTCTCAGACAACAATGGCAGTCTTCAGATATGTATCAAATAATTTCAACTGGACAGGGTTTACATATTAATTTGGGAAGAGGACTTTCGAATTCTCTGAAACAGATAAAGGAGCCCATTAATGATGGCTACCCTGAAAGTCCAGCAGTCTTGTTCTCTGAAACAGATGATGGATACCTGGTAAAATTCAATAAAAAAACACTTAGGAACTAATTAAACCCCCTTTTAAAATCTGTTCTAGCAGAGAAAAGTTCTGAATGAAGCTGACCAGTAGGTTCTCTGAAAACTCAAAGGAATTCTTCTTCCTTCTGATAGTCTAACCTCCAAACTCCAAACAGTGAGCGTCTTATAATAATATTCGGTCACATTAGGGTGTTGTCAAGGGAAAGTGAATTTTAATTTCCAAGTATTTATATATAAAATGACACTTTTCCAGTTTCCCTTCGTAACTCGTAGATTACTAAACAGGGCTTAGTAGAAAGGTAATACCTCTTAGTATTCTATACTGAAGAACCAGATCACACCATAATCAGTGACACTGCCCCGTTAAAAGTGTCTTTATTTCATTTCTTTACAAAGAGTCTTACTTTGCACGTGCAGTTCCTGCAGTGATCGCCGTCCACCCAGGAGTCTTGGTCTCTATACAGCAGTCCACTCACTTGACAAGTCTTCTCGCAATGACAGTTTTCCAATTGACTGAGTCTCGTCTCTGCATAATTTAGCTGCGAACGAGAGCGACTAGGTGTAATTTCTGTAATTCCATTGCACGGTCCTAACAAAGCTAATAGCAACAAGGAAAAAATGCAAGTAGGAGGGAAACAATGCTCAGAGCAGCTGATTCTTAGTCAGATCTGTTTTTTGTTTTGAATAAATATTTTTTTCTTTTACATGAGGTGGAATCATTCTAAATTAAAGACATATTGACTCCCATGGTCTAATGAGCACCAAATGAGACATTAAACTGTATCGCAGGGACCTCCTGGGTGTTCAGAAACGTATGTGCTCTCAGCTCCAAGCCCACACGGCAGCACTGTAATGAATGCGTTCTCAAGGACTCATTACACTGTTTACAGGAGATCTAATGAGGAACGCCAATGCACTCACATCTATCTCCCACCTTCCTCTCCGTGTTCTGCACATACTAACCAGAGTGCCATGCTTTACAAGCTGGGAAGTCATCGCTTCCTCTCTGAGGAAAAATTCTGGGGAGCAGGGGCCAGAAAAGGGGAAAGTCATAGAAGGATCTAGTTTTTCTCCATGTCCCAATCCCCCAAACAGAATGTCCCAAGGATCCACTTTGGTGTTCAGATGAAAGTCCGAAGAGGCAACCACCCCCCAGGTGAGATCAAGATTTGGTGATAGAACCTTTTTTTCATTTTTCTAAGTCACCCAACTGTTGCCATTAACCACAGAGTCATAGAATCTTTGATTGGAAAGGGGATATACAGCTTGAATGTGTTCACAAGTCTTTGTTTACACATGGAGAGTGGTGGGACACTTATTATCCTCTAAGGAAAAATTTTTGTTGTTGTTAGCTCTGGATGTCTTAAACACCCTTCTTGGATTGAGTCCTGAAATCTCTCCCTTTTTCCTATTACCTCCAGTTTTGCCTTGTAACCATCCTGAGCAAGTCTACCTCTCTTCAAATACTTGAGGTTATCCTGTCCTCGTGCCTGCTCCTGGCCACAATCAGCCCCATGTGATAGGGTCCCAATCCTCTCCTGATCACCTTCCATGCAGCCTACTCCATTTTGTCTTGAAAAAGATGGTGTCAAAAAAACTGAACTGTGGTATGATCTGGCTATTGCCACATCCATTCTAAGGAGTAACTCAATCCAATACCAGTATTTCCCTTTCCTTACATAGAGATGCCTTGATTGAGAAACAAATATAACTTCCTTAAAAAAATCATCTAATAGGTTTTCTTCTCCTTCTCAATCATACTTACACCTCTATGTCTTGAGTATCTTCCCCATCCAGGAGACCAAGTCAATCCCTGATGCCACCAAGACTATTTCTAACCAGTATTTTAGATATAATCGTTGACCCTAGGTAATGATGACTCCCACCATCCTTCTACATCAACTATGATTCCATTCCATACATGACCCTCTCAATTACTCATAACAGTGCCACTCTCTGGAAATGGAATCCGTATGTAATTCCAACCTTGGTTTTTATCACTTATCTCATCCTGTCTCTCCAAGCTTTTGGAATTTCTCATGAAAACTTATCTGTGGTCTGCATTTCATGGGTGATGCCAATGGGCAGGGAAAAGAACAAACAGGATCCTAGACCAACTACATACACTATAATTAGCCGTGAGGAAAGTAGAGTTAACTATGCCTGAAATATTGGCTTCCTCTGACTCTTCTAATATGCAGGTTACATTCCAAAAATTCAGGGTACATTTGAATCTCCAGCCTAATCACAGAGTTTCTAGAAGTTATGATAATTAAGTTCTTTGAGAATTCTTTCAGAAACAATGGGAAAATACACTTCCAAGGCTGGTGAGGTCAAGTGACCAAAACCATGTATAGGTAAGAGATAATAAAAAGGAAGTGACAACATCACACATTATCTTTACTTCATTCCATAGTCCCAGTAGTTCCTACAAAGGTAGTGATTGATGTGACCTGGGATTGAACAAGAAAGTTAAACTAGATCTGCATTCCTCCTAAAACTGGCTCAGAATGGGGTACCTATGAGAAGAAAGTGCCTGCCTCACTCAGAAAAGCTGGAACAACTTTAGTGCCAAGGAGGAAACTTCTTAAAAATTAAAAGACCCAACAGGCAATTCTTCATCTGTCCCAGTTTCCAGAAAATCCAGGAGTTTGCCTGAGGATCACATTGGCAATTTCCAATAAAGTCCAACAAGCTATGCTCAACCTTAAAACTCAATTCAAAGGAAAACCTTTATTTTAATATAATGAAACTATTCTCAGGACTAACTCTTATTTACCTTCTGAACTTAGCTTTTATTTTTAATATATTTAGCCTTTTCTGATAACATTGTAAAGCTCTAAACTCTAACATAAAAGTATATCAGACAAACACAAAGACAAAAGAGATATTAAAGCAAAAAGCTAATTTTTCAAAGGCACTTAATGTGTAATCCTGCCTTCCTTTTTCTCCCTGCTACATCATGTTGCAACAGTAAAGGAGACAAACAACTCTGAATCAAAAATGAATTACATTTTCTGTCACTGATATTAGCATGCTGAATTTACACAAATTCGTTTTCAAAGCTATTTCTATACTACCTGCTACTTTCTCCAAGAATGCCTGCAGATCCAAAATAAGATACGGTATCAAATCTACATCTCAATTCTGTTTTACCTTTGCTTGTGCGTTTACATAAATAACCATGGACCAAATCACTTATTCTTAATGCTACACATTCAAAGACAGACAGCAGACGCCTTTTCTGCAGTAAGAGGCCCCTGAATGGCTCTAAGTCCATTAGTCAGGTGGTGGATGGCTCTTTGTTTTTTTTCTTTGAAATACTACTTATTTGGCATTTGCTAGATGGAAGGGGGGAAAAAGAATTCTTCTATTGTGTTAAACCTTTAAGCTTAATTGAAAAATCATTACTGAGCCCCTCAAAACAATGAAAGTCTCCAAATTAAATAAGTTAAAAACTGAAATGCCACTCCAAATGCTGCTTGATTTGCATAAATAGCTTTGTCAAAGATTTAAACAGAAGTAATCAAGAAATCCCCAGTCTCCAGCATCTTTTCTTCCTCAGCTTGGAGAGTGGGGCAGAGCCTGCCCCTATCCCAGTGCACCTGGCCCAGGTGGTGGCGCTTCCCACAATGTCCAAACTACCTGGGAAACCTCCAGAGGAAGCCAGGGAATTAGTGGTCCCTTTGGGGACAGTTTCCCTGCACCTTCGCTGCCTTGGAAAATAGATGGTTTTGCCAGACTGCCAGGACTTCTCAAGAGGGCTCCTGTGTGCCCTGACCGCTGTCGCCTGGAGATGCATGCAAGCTGTTCCCATGACCCGTCCTGTATCAAGCAAAGGCAGAGTCATTCTCCAGCCTTCCCAGCTGAAAGGTGAAAAGGAACAGCAGGCCTTCCTAGACAGACCCAACCCCTGAGCTCATCTGGTGTCTGCATCTGTTTGGTTTGGTGTGACTCGGGCTACCATCCCCTGTCCAGCTTGTGCACTGAGCTTGCTCTTTGCTAGGCTTCCATGGCTTCCACTCAGACCCATGTGTGGGACTTTCTGCTGCTTCCCAAGACCTCTTGGAACCTGGCTCTAGACCAGAGCTCTGACATCAATTCACTGCCTCTGCTAGGCTGTGTGATATAAGCCACTGGGGAAGGTGTACGTTTTCTTAGGGACCGTCTTTCCCCCAGAGTTGCCTATTTAACAACAGTCATTGCTTACTGAATGCTCACACTGTGCCATGCAGCAAACTAGACTTCCAAATCTCTCTTGCCTATCTCATGGAATCCTTATAAAACCAAGAATAATTTTTACCAATTTATATATGGGAAAATTGCAGCTGCAAAAAGTCCAATGAACCCTTGAGCTCCCACCTTGATAGCTGCCCAGGGTGCAGGGGAGTTTGAGAACAGGGTCTGCTCAATAGGGGGCGTTCGAAAGGAAACTCCTCCATGAAGACCTGGCCCCAGAGGGCTGCAACCTCAGTTCAAAACTGAACAAAAAGGAAACAAGGCTTGCACAAGGCACAGAAAGAAGGTCTTGCTGTTCAGATTTTGGCACACTGACTAGAGGGAAGTATATTCCTTGAGATTTCACCTGGCCTACCCTGTGTTTGTGGTTTGATTCTGAGCAGTGTCTGTGATCTGAAAACCCTTAAGGAAATGACGTGCTATAAGGTGGCCCCGTGAGGTGGTTGGTGGCAGGACTCCATGAGGTGGTGGCAGGACTCAGGTTCAGGCTAGGAAAAAATCCACAGATTTCCAAGGAAAACAAGTGGCAGCAGCCAAAAAAGAATGAGTTAAGGGGCCTTGTTTTTGCCCTGACCTTTCCCCTTTAAAAGCTGCTGGAAGCTCTATGCCCACTCTTCACTCCCAACAGGTACCATCTGAGCACGCATTCCTCTTGACCTGTCTTTTTATTGCACATTCCTCTTCTCACTGATCCCTTCATTCTCCTGCCTGTGGCATCCACCTCCCTCTCTTCATCACTGACTCCTGCTCATATCTCTTCTCTCTCTTCCTAATCCTCTCTTCCCCAACTATAAACTCAGTCATGATTCAACTCTCAGAATCTGAGTCTGCATCCCGCTCTGACATCCACTATCCTAGGAAAAGTTACAGGACTTTCTTGGAACTCAGTCTTCTCTTCGGGAAAGGGGAGCTAACACATCAAGCCTGGCTCACAGGATGGTTGTGAGGCTTAGAGTGACAGGGACTATAAAAAGGTGAAGCACTGTAAATAGCACATAGGAAACACTCAACAAATATTGCCTAGTATGAGTTTCCTTCCGGCTTCTTCTAGATGTGGGGCTAACAAACTAAGGCCCATGGCCCAAATCTGGCCCACAACCTATTTTTTAAAATATATTTTTATTGATTTCAGAGAGCAATGATAATTAAGTTCTTTGAGAATTCTTTCAGAAACAATGGGAAAATACACTTCCAAGGCTGGTGAGGTCAAGTGACCAAAACCATGTATAGGTAAGAGATAATAAAAAGGAAGTGACAACATCACACATTATCTTTACTTCATTCCATAGTCCCAGTAGTT